TCTTCCTCATCATTAGCATCTTGGTAGCTTTCAATGAGATGTTCCATCACTATGCACCTCAGGACGCCCCAATCATTCGCCGTGATTGGAGTCCTCAGCGTCTCCGGAGTGAAAGTTTCACCCTCTCTCAGCTGGTACAGGGCCAGCTCGCCGGTTGTATACTGAAACACGTACCCGACATACCCTGACAATAATTTCAACTCACCACGAAGTGAAGCATTCGGTGGCTTTTGAATTCTGCACAGTTGCATGGTGACTTTTTTCGGAGCTCGAGACAAGGCTGGGGGCAGGACAAAGCTTCTGATTGGATAACCTTTCACCTAGAACTGTCAAATCGAGTTTGATGAAAGCCGGTATCTATACTGTGTGTCACCAAAATGCACTGTGCTGCCTAATTAGCATATGCACGGCCTCAACTGTGCCTCTCATCCCACCTCAATATAAGCACATTCATTCATGGCAGGAAAATACCAAACACACCAATGCACAAAAAAAACGTAGACATGCGCTCAAGGAAAATTGCATTAGGGCTTTGGTTGAAGTAATGCAAAAATTGTTCTGGCAGAAGAATAGAGCATATAGTGAACCTGTTGAAGGTTGTAGACTCCCACTCTTCCACGGACTATTTCCAAATATTCTGCAGTGTACTGGAGGAAATACTTGGGTCCTGTCTAGTGTGAAACAGACCAAATCTCACCAGCAGGGAATGGCCGACCAGCTGGTGTGTGTTTAGCCCAAATGCAAAGAAAAAGAGAACGAACTGAAATCAATGTCATTTTGAATTCCCACTCATGCTGATGTTTCAGCTCAGTGCAGTGAAAACTTTACTTGGTCCACTTGTGATGAGTTACTTCATACTAACTCTAATTTAAGTTTTCAAACAGATCAATCAGAATAAATATAAAGCTGCAAATAAAGTGAAAAAAACCTCAAATATTGTTCAGTGCTTAAAATCATCTTCACTTTTGTAATGCCTATTTTTGCCTAGTTAAGTGGTGTGACTAGCTGGCTGAGAGGCCGGCTGGCAGCTGTTTTATGTGTTCTGGCCTTCACTGCCCCAGGCTTTGGTGTGGGTTAAGCTCTTTAAGCCAGTGTGACCATGCCACCTACTCGACGGTGAGGGGAACTGTCTGATACATTCAGTCATTATATTCAGGAATTTATTTAGTGATTTAGAAAAGGACTAACAATAATGACGTTTTAACAAAAGCAGGAAGACATCTGTCAGTCACTGGCCACAAACAATGCACAGACAGATCCATCGGCTCATGAGCGTCTTAACCAAACATGTTTAAATCTCATTACCTGTGTCGTCTCTCTGTGGTTATTGCCGTTCACGCCACCCCACAGCTCACCCACCTCTGCCCCACCACCACTTGATTTGACGGCTTCTCGGCAGGTTTCATTCCTCCACATCTATCTCAAATGGGGTTGTTGTCAAATAAGTTTAAATATGTCCAAATGAACCCTTGCATTCTCCTTAGATGTCTTCCCTGATTGAAATGCTTTTGTGTCTATTATCGTGAATACAATGTGTACTGGTGGAGTTAAAACCTTTATCATGGCCACTTCTTCCGTCTGCATAGGCCAGTTTTCTGATAAACTCACTGATCTTCTGTGGTGACAGCTTGACACAGTGATAAAAGCCTTCACACAGGAAACCATACAAAGCCATTTAAGAGCAGGGTAATTTAACCGTTAAAACACCCTGGTATTTCTGCATGCTCAGTGAGTTAAACAGTGTTACAACAGGCCTTCCTGTGAAATCTGTGAGATGTGAAGCTATGAAATGATGTTATGAAGGTGGGTGTAGCCCTCAAACAGCTGCGCTGCAGCTTGAGATTCCACTTGTGTCACTGATGATACAACGACAGCTGGCAGCATTATCCTCGGCATTTCGCACATGACTTGCTTCAAGGAGACTTCAAAAAAGTCACACTTCAACGAGTCTATCAGCTTTATTGCTGTAGCACAATGAAAATGCCCTTTCCTGAAATACTGTATAACTCTTAGCCATCTTGTGCATTCGCCAAATCAAACTCAAACTCACTTAGCCAGGAAATGTGGCAATGAGACATTGTTGGAAATTTGTCATTAGCTTCATTATGACTTTTGTTTAAGAATAGCAAAGTGTATGCACATGTGGGATGTGGTCAGTGATGGCAGCCCAGGACTGTGAGCTATAGTGAAGATGCCTCCTGAAGACAAGATGGGGTCACTAAGACCACGTTCACACTGCAGGGTGAAGTGACTCAAATCCAATCTTTTTGCCCAAATGCGACCCGAATCCGATTTTTTCAAATCCGGCCCAGGCCACTTTCATATGTGGTCCTAAATCGGATACGTATCCGATGTTTTGCAATGCGACTTCAGTCTGAACGGACAGGTCGTATTTCATGCAATTTTTATGTCATTGAAATGCGACAGATGTCACAATTCTGCGCTGGAGGAGGCGAGGGGTAATAAAAAAAATTTTTTTAAAGTGCAGACAACGTTTATTCAGGTGATGATAACGTTTTCCTTCTCACTTGGAAATTATTAATGAATTCTGTATCCGTGAAGCCCCTCACGGAATCCCACCAGTGCTGGCTCCGACTCCGCACCCACACATTCCTCTGTACAGAGGTAGCAGCCACTACCTGAGCATTAAGACCTGCAGTGTGAATGTAGTCTAAGACTGGACCTCAACAGACTGTGACATGGTGGCCTTGGTCAGCATAAGCTGAGCCATGATTGTGGTATGTTCCAGCAGATATCACCCAGACATGTTTCCATTACTCTGACCCCAATATGACCCTGGCCACGTTAAAGCAGCACAATGATTTTTCCTTCTGCACAATCACCACAGTGAGCCGAAGGTCTCATCCATTTACCTGTAGAGTTCTGAAGCACTGCACGTGCAGAATTTGTCTGTATCAGTACTGTACTGTACTGTGGTATGGAGGTAGAGGCTGTGCATTTAAGACAGTAAGGCTGTTCTCTGATATGGTGCCAAACTGAAATATATGGCCTGTGTGTTTTTCTGTATACTAATTCTCTTTTTAGCTAAGGAAGTGCAAACTGAAAAAAAAAAACACCACTGAAAACAAGGGATAAAGAAGAGAAGAAAGACAAGGGCATCACCAGTATGTCAGAGTTCGTTAAGTATAGGCATGAGGCATAGGGATACGTACTGAGCTGGTATTCAAGGAGGTACCCGGTGAGAATCCCATTAGGTTCTGCTGGCAGGGCCCAGACCAGAGAGACAGTGTGCTTTTGTACATCTGTGACCCTGAAAACAGGATTTTTCTCAGGGACTGTGGAGGCAGAAAAAGGTAATACAAACAGTAAGCAGCTGAATTCTGCAACCCAGTTTCCTTGGCTATTATTAGATTTTTCCTTCAGTAGTTGTGAATCAATACACCCCATGCTGCTTCTCCACAATCCTACCTCCCTCTGGGGTTTTGAAGTTGATGGGATGGCTGCCAGGGCCATTGCCCCGCCCATTGAAGGTCATGACGATGAGGCTGTACTCTGAGAAGGGCGTTAGTCCTGGCACTGTGGCATGGTTCTGGTCCCCAGGGAACGTCAGTGTGTGTTTTTCTCCATGGCTTTTCTTTGAGTCCACCAGACTGCGCAGACGCCACCAGTTCATCTAGATCAGGAGAGAGACGCATAAAGTCGTCCTCAGAAGAGAAATTAGAGGCTGTACATCATACATATGTCTATGTGTGAGAGTGCTCAAAGAGTTATTGTGTTCTGTTTTTCTGGTGACGTGAACAGAAAAAAAAAACACTGAGTTGACCGAGTAAAGAAGACAGAGTGGGATGAGGGAAGCAAACGTTTAGAGCAAGGTTACTGCCATTCCATTTAAACTGTGTCTAAAAGCAAATGTCTGTTTTTAAGGTATTACCCTGTAGCCTCCCAGATGTCCATGTAGCTTGTCCTTGTGTACACGGGTCCAGCTAACCTTGACCACGGAACTGTTCATCACCTCCACAGCTACATCATCAGGCGCAGCAGAGGGAACTGCAAAAGCAAACACACATTAGAATCTACAGTAAGTTGAAAGTAAGTCAAGGAAAAACAGAGGAGTGAGACTAAATGTGCAACAATGACCCTGAAAACAACTCAGAGTATTTAATGCAAAAGTTTCATCATAAATTAAAACCAAGAGATACTAAAATATCTAAATTTAGGATCACTGATCTGTAGAAACACCTATTTGGGATCACTATCAATGAAGGACTACCACAGTCCAAAAGGCTAATGAAAAATAACAAACTACTGAGCTATAAGGAGTGAACACTGCATTTTCTATCATCACATACAAATATAAGGGCACAACAGTAAGAAGCGACACTACCTGAGGTGACATCCTGGGGGCAAGTCCAGAAAAAAGCTAAACACAGGGAATACAGTAAACCTCTGTACAGACTGCTCCCATTGACAAACTGTAACTACTACAGTTCACTCAACAAAATAACAAAACTTATAGATAAATCATTTCCCCAAACCCACCTGAAAACTGCAACAGGAAATACCAGAGTTAAGCAGAGTTTTATTTATTTATTTTACTTAATCCACATCTTTCTCCATACAATCATGTATCCTAAAGTTAGAATCCTTTCTTTTCTACTTTGTACTTTGCCGGCAAATGGGACCACTGAAAGTTTGTACATTCTGTCTTCTAATATCCAGAAACCACACAAGTTGATGTCAGTAATTTCCAGGCACATTGCCAAAAATTTAATTAAGAGAATATTTACAATGTTTTAAACTTTGTTTAATGAACACTGGGTCTCATTCACCAACTATTATTAAGAACAAATGTGTTCATAAAATTTAGGAAGTTTTCAAAAAAAATACTGGCATTCACCAATGTTTATCTACCATTTGTTCTTAGGTAAAAACAGAATCTATGTTCATTTGAGCACTAACATATGTTTGAAATAACTGGTTATTTACTTTCCTTCAATTCTGTAGTTATATAATATTATAGGATTTAAATTACAATAACAGTTTTGTCATCTTTAATATTTTTCCCATTATTTTACAAAGCATTATGGCCTTTTAAAATGAATAAACACTACACTAAAAGTACAACAAGCAAATCATTGTTAAAGGTTTTAAAATTAATTAAACTTTTACAGTGTGATTATTTGTAGCTTAGAAATAGAAAACACATTACTTAAAAACCAAACACGTTTAAGTGCATATCTTTATTTCTAATTTCTTTCTTTAAGTGCCTCCCAGATAACGTGGCCAGTGTTGAGGCTGTCTGTGTAAGTGTTTGGTTGTCCAGCACCACATCTGACACTCAGGGCAGTTAAAGGGACCCGGGTCTGCTCAGCTGATTTCACACCCAGAGAGCCGTGTACGGCCCTGATGTGCTGGTCCAGCTCAGATACCTCTGGGCCAGCCTGTCCTCTTCCACCGGTCAGTGTCTCTCTTCTGTGTTTGTTGTGTTGCCTCAGATTTCAGCTCAAACCATCTTTTTAATTCATCCTTTTAATTATTTTTAAATCTGTAAAGTGTATCTTGACATCAATTGTTTTCTTGTATTAATCTTGTGTTAGATTTATGTCTGAATGATTGTTTTAGTTACACACCACATAACAACATACATGCACATGGAGTTCTTCATTTGTTCTGATTAATGCTTGATGCATGTGGAGCATAAGATAAGAGAAGGAGACGTCGGACTGTCTCCAACTCATGATGATTCTATATCTGTTTGCGTAAGGGGTTAGCCCAAGAAATCACCTAAATGTATTAGCCTCTGTGTTCCCGAGAGCTCTCTTCTCCAGCAGCTTGTCTGAGGAAGAGAGCCACCCGGGTTGTCCTTTTGTGACTTTTAACTTGTGGCTTTTTAAATAAACCAGAACTAAAATCAAGAAAGATGGACTCCTTCCTTACTCAGATCTGTCCAATAAAAGAACTGGGGTATTACACTCAGCTTCTGTTTTCCATTTCTGTGTGAGATTTCTGTGTGCACACAACCCTGGAGTCTCATGCCCTTTTATGGGCAGTGCCAGGGTGTTAACCCTTGTTAATTAGGAACGACTGGCACACGCTTTCAACTTACAAACACGTGGGATTCATCAATATAAGAACACAGGTGTGAACAATTCTGAGATTTAAGAAGGTGTTCGTAAATCAGATGCGGCCTTTTCTTATGTAGTATTATGGTTCTTATTACCATTGCTAACTCTGAGAGACGAGACAGTCCAAGTAACTTCAAAACAGTGCCCAACAATAATGTAGCCAACAATAATGTAGGTTGTTCTTAAGAAGGGTCCTAAGTGTTGGGTATTTTTAGTCAGATAGATATTGGATAGATACTTTATGTATTAGAAATGTTTAACTAGACATCCTATCTCCACTAAACAGTTAAATGCTTAGTCATGCTTATGAGTTTCTACAGGGTACATCTGGTCAAGGATAACTAGAGAGAAAAGTTGATGACTGTCAGCAGACAGGGTGTTTAATATTATTATTATGATCGGTTGACGTTTCTGTGTAGTATGGGGCTAGCCCAACCGAGGGGATATAATGTATAGGCCTGGTGGGTTCAGGGTCTTTCATCTTACATCTGCCTGCGTGCAGTTTGGAGGTGCAAGATACTTGAGCGTGTAATGTAAATTTTACCTGTGATCCTTTGAATAAATCAGCACTGTTTTGAAGTTACTTGGACTGTCTCGTCTCTCAGAGTTAGCAATGGTAAGAAGAACCAAAGTCTAACAGTATGAAGAAATTTAAGAAAACACTTAGGAAGATGCTGAAGAAAGCATCTGGACATAGTTTTAGGTAGAAGATGTTTCACCTCTCATCCAAGAGGCCTCATCAGTTCTGTATAACTGGTGGTGAACAGGAGGTATTTATCCCCCTGGGTGGTGTTTCAGTCCTTTGACAGCCAACAATGTCCCCTAATGACTGAGTCGTTGGAGTCTGGTATCAGTGAGAGTCAATACCTGTCTTTGAACCATCACATGTGGACCGACGGCCATATTCTCCTGGTGTGAATTGGGGTGGAAATGTTTGAGTAGAGATTTCAAAAAGAGTAACTCTGCTTTGAAATACATGACTTTTGCTAAACAGCATCAGCTGAGCTCCCAATTAAATGTTTATCTTTGACATGTTAAACTGTGATGTAATTGTAGAACAAGTAGAAAAGAGTCAGAAATGTCAATTACAAAGCATCATCTAGTTTGTTTACCAACATTACCTAACATTAGCAACCATACGCTACTGGTCAGACCATACCAAACAGGGCTGTAGCAGCAAAATCTTTGAGCGTACTCAAGTGACAAAAGATTATATAAATTCAAGTTTTCATCAATATAATAGCTTTTCATTTTAAGGTGAAAAGTTTTTTTAACATTCATTTGGAATTGTGCTTCCTGGCACGTGATGTAAATCCAATATTCATTTCCCTTTTAGCTGAGTTGTATGCTCTGCCAGTTGTTGAGGAAAACAATAGGGTTTTTAGCTGCTCAAGGCTCCACATGCTCACTAGCTAGTTGCTAACTTAGTCTACTGGTTCTGAACCTTAGGACTGAAGAGAGCAGAAATTAGGACAACAAAACCAAAACAATGTGTTAAAAGACACTCCTTAGAGCTCAGGTGAACTGCAGAGTTGGATGATGTTTCTAAGGAGCTTTGTCACACTGAGCAGTCCTTATCAAATTACACAGTCATTTTATCCATTGCTAATTAAAAAAAAAAACTAGTTCAGTTTTAAATAAAACCAACAAATATGGGCACTCACAATCCTCTCCAGAGTAGCCAGTCACTATTCTGGGCTCAGGACCCCACCCCTGATGGTTTCTGGCTTGGATCTTGATCTCATAGGGCACAAAGGTGGGAGTGCTCTTCACCACAAATGAGTGTCTCTTCACCATGTGTTCCTTCCAGTCCTCTTCTGTGTCCTGTCTCCTGTAACTCACTTTATACTCCAAACCAGGACCATTGTGCTCAATGGGTAACAGGGGCTGGATAATGGAAGAACAATGAAGCAACAATAAAAAATGAAGTATAACAGTGTGAAGGGATTCACAGAGACTTGACCTGGTCTACTGTACTGTAGCAGCAGGGCTTTACTTTGATAAAGGACATGTTAAGACACTGTAGATGAAAAGATTTATCTCCTCACACAAGGCGGACCGTGAGGAATAGAATGATGTACCATTAGACACAAAAGCAAATCATTAACAGTGGGAGAGCTCATGAATCCAGGATCTGAGGACTACATTATCATGACAGGGCAACCAGATAATAAGTGAAGGAGAGATTCATCTTTCTCCAATAAAGCTGAATATATTACTGTACATATTAAAATAAACCTTTCCTTTGCATAGCCCTCCTTTCTCTTTCTAATCAAATTAAAGGAGCAGCTTTCAACAAAAACTTATTCAGAGCGATCCCAGGAAATGGCTTTTGTAAAGCTATGAATCACAAAAGAAACTTTGAAAGTGGGTCATTTCTTAAATTCCTATTCATAATTACCTATGAAACACTGATAAAGCCTCCCTGTCCTCTTAAGAGAAATTCTTTGATGTGCAAAAACTGTAGCAGATGTAAATAATTCACTATATAAAGGCCCACAGTACAGAATTTGCAGTAAGAGGATTTAAAAAAAAAAGAACCAAACGCTACAGTTGAAAGAAAAAGTAATGGCACTGTTTGCAATTTCTTGGTTTTCTGCATAAATTGGTCATGAAATGTGAGCTGATCTTCACCAAAGTCACAAATATCCACAAACACAATATTTCTAAGCTGCTAAAAAACAGTCATGATCTTTTATGTCCTTAATGAACACACCCATTAAACATACAAAGTGATGGTGGAAAAAGTAATGGCAACAGTGCTTTCAGAACTGGTGGAACCACCTTTGGCAGCAATAACCTCAAGCAAGTGCTTCCTGTAGCTGTGGATTAGACCTGCACAATGTTCAGTAGGAATTTTGGACCAGTTTTCCTCACAGAACTGCTTCAGCTCAGCCATATTCTTAGGATGCCAGGTGTGAATGGCTCTCTTGAGGTTATTCCACAGCATCACTGTTGGGTTGAGGCCTGGGCTCTGACTGGGCCACTCCAAAAGGCCAGTTTAGTGTTTCTGAAGCCATTCTGTAGTAGATTTCATTTCATTCATTTTCCCTTCCACAATGAAAAGCGGTCCAGGTCCAGCAAAGCAGCCCCACATCACAATGCTCCCTCACTATTGGGACGATGTTTTCATGTTGGTACGTGGTTCTGTTTTTACACCATACATGGTGCTGTGTGATCTTCCCAAACAATTTTACCTTAGTTTTGTCTTTCCACATGACATTTTCCCAGTAGTGCTGTGGAGTGTCAAGGAGGTCTTTGACAAACTTCAGGCGTGCTGCAGTGTTGTTTTGGAGAGCAATGGCTTCCTCCATAGTGTCCTGCCATGGGTACCATGCCTGTTCAATATTTTGCATATGGCTGACTCATGAAAAGAGAAGCTAACCAATGAATCCTTCAAGCCTTCAGCGTTACTCTAGGGTTCATTTTTACCTTCCTGAGTGTTCTATGTTGTGCCTTTGGAGTGATCTTGGCTGGGGGTCCACTTCTATGGAGAGTAGCCACAGTTCCAGATTGTCTCCATTTATACACAGGATGTCTAAATGTCTAACTGTGGACTGATGAATATCTAAAGTCTTTGAGATGACTTTGTAGCCCTTTTCAGCTACATGCAAATCAACAACTCTTGATCGTAGGCATTCTGAGATCTCTTTTTTGTGAGGCCTGGCTCACATCAGCTGATGTTGTTTGTGAATAGCACACTGACACTGTTTGAACGTTTTTATAAGTCAGAGTAGTTCTAAACCACACCTCCATTCTTGTTTCATTGACTGGACTCCAAGTTTGTTAACACCTGACTCCAGTTGACATTTAGTGACATCCGAAGCCTAGTATTTCACTTATAGTACTTATCCACCATCCATCCATGTTTAATGAGTGTGTTCAATAAAGGCATGAAAGATCATGACTGTGTTTTATCAGCTGAGAAATGCTGTGTCTGTTGATACGTATTTGTGAATCTGGTGAAGATCAGATCATTTCATGACCAATTTATGCAGAAAAACAGGAAAATGCAAATAGTACCATTACTTTTTTTGCAACTTCTATGGCTTACCTCCCAGTTGATATCCATTTCATGTGGCAAATGACCTTCGATTTTGATATTTTCAGGGTTCTTGTCAGGGGCTGTAGAAAAAAAGGGAATATAGATTTTGTCAGCATTATTAGTGGAAGAAGTCTCCAGAGAAACAGGCACACAGGAGAGCAGATTTTCAACAAGAGTGGAATCAATTATGTAGCAGGGCTGAGTGTTTTAAAGTTCACAGAGCACCAGTGTTGGCAGCTCAAGTGGCCTGGAGGACTTTATCAAAAAGTATAATAAACCATCAAAGTAGGAAACCTCAGACCTGCTGGGGGGGTTTTATATCTCTCTGTGGGCTTGCTGGGAGGACCCCTCCCTACAGTGTTAACTGCAAACACACGGAAGCGATAGTCCACGTGGCCGTGGAGTTTGAGGACAGCTGAGTTGTGGTTCCCAGGTACTCGGAGAAGCTCCTTCCAGTTTCCTGGCTCCCACTGGTTTTCCTCATACTCGATAACAAACTCTGTTAACATGCAGAAAGACCATAAGAGCGGCCCCTAACTGCAATAGCTCTTGACAGACTATTACTTATCTAACTATTGGCTGTGCAGAAACCTCCTCAAACCCTGCTCTAGACTTGTATATTCCTCAGGGATAATTCATGCTTAGATGAATCAGTAATAGATTCATATAGTAACATGGTTCCAAACAAATCTATTAACATGGCGACTAATGCCCAAAAATGTGTAAAGCTTTTAATACCATTCAGTTCAAGAAACACTCGGTATTCATTAAGTATGCCTTAAACTGTTGTACTGACACCTGCACACACAATTGCTTCTTTTACCTGTGGTTGAACTATTGTGATCATCCCCGGGGATCCATTTCATTTTCACACTTTTGCTCTTGTGTTCAGACAGTAGCACATTCTCAGGCGCATCTGGGACATCTGAAAACCATCACAGTAACATGGATTTTGAAACTCACAGACCCATCAATCTCTCCAGAAAAAAAGCCAAGGGAGCAAATGTTCAATCAAATCATCCTGAGAGTCAGAGGATGTGGAACGAGCTGCACCGCTGCATAGGCTGCCACCGTTTCTTTTAGACTTTAACAGCCATGTCAACAGCATTTGAAAAGGGCGATTGTCAGACATGGCACTGCACTAATAAAGCAGTGGTCTGCATGTTCATGCTCTGCATTGGCTTCCTGACATATTGATCCACGAATGATTGTGCCATATATTAATGTGGCACCAGGGGTTCTCTGATCCTTTTGCCCCCGGAGCACGACTGCAATATTGTTCATATATTAGCTCACCTAAAACAATGAGCAGGGCTGAGGCTGTGGCTCGGTCCACTGGAGTTCTTGCCACACATGTGTACACACCCTGGTCCCTGTGGCTCACATTGATAATCTGAAGAATATCATTCTCCACAAAGTATCTGTTGACAGTAGGATGGAGACACAATATTTGACTGACAAAACTGAAAGTACAGTAAAATGACTTTGCAGCTGGGATTTAATCTGCAGTGCTGTTAAAAAAAATCCAGTATCCTACCTTGAATTCTCCGTGTAGTTGAGGGGTATCTCTATATCATCTTTTTCCCACAGGAGCTCAAAGTCGTTGTTGAAGGACTTGTCGTACTCTGCCAGGCATGAGAGCTGGGCTGTGGTACCCATTAGGATCTGCTGGTCCTCTGGGGGCATGGTAATTCTAGTGGGATCTTCCATAGGTAGAACTGTATTAGTTACTAGTTACATTTCAAGGACTGTGAGCCACTAACACATTTACGTGTAAAACTGTTTACCTTTCACATAAAGCACTGCATCGATGGCAGACCGTCCCTCTGTGTTTTTAGCTAAACACGTGTACTGTCCTGTGTCGTCTTTCTCTACACTGTAAATCTCCAGCGACCCGTTGATGTGAACACTAAATCTTGGTCCCTTCACAGATTCAGAGGAGTCATCTTTGCTCCTGAAAAAAAAAACAACACTAATTAAAGTCTCAGAGTTCTCTTGGGTCAAATTATTTATGAACAAAGCAGCAATCTAAACAGACAAACACTACACTGTAGCAGCCAATAGGATGTAAAAGTTACTGAACAGAACATTAGTGTTGGCTGACAGATGTGTTTTAAAGAAACAACAGGTCAATGACACAGAGATGTGTGCAGAAGGATTGTATGCCTCAGCCACTTGAGATCTACTGCTCTCTGCTGGTGTATTGGAGACAGGAACATACTATCCACTTACCAAGTGATAGCAGAAGGAGGAGAACTGAAGACCTTGCAGTGCATCATCACTCCCTTCCCCTCTGCAGCCGAGTACTCCTCCCCCTCCCTGGTCAAAATCATAGGTGGCAGATCTGCATAGACCAGCAGTACAATGTAGTCATCAGTCTAATGTTGTTAGGAAAGTAGAGGAGGCTCTAATGCAGATATTCCACCATGGAGGAACCTACTGTATGTGTAGCCTTTACCTTACAAATAAAACTGAATGAGATCAAGATCACAGGTTATCAGTTTTAAAAACCAGATAAAAAGAGAATGGCGTAAGCCAGATACAGCATGTGTGGATTATACAAGGTGACAGCAGTGTTGCCTTTCCTGTGTGTTAATTGTGGGCTCCTTAGTGTAACAAATGAGTCAGCTGTCAGGCTGTCAGAAATGTGTAATTGCAAAAATTAAATAAAAGACAAAAACAATGGAATAATGAGTTAGCCGAGTGTGTGCACCTTATCAGTTGTAGCCAAAGCCTCCTATTGAAATGGTCTGTCTCTCCTAATTGTTTGCACAGGCAGCAGCTGGGACTTAGCATTCAGAGACTGTCCAGCTTTATTAACTCCTGTGTCACTGCGACCAAACTCCCCAGACTTGCTCAGAGTAAACATTCTAACATTCTGTCTTTTTTTTTCTTTTTTTAATCTGCACTTGTAAAGCAGCACATGTCGATGTACAGCACTGAAATCAGTACAGAAGGAGAACTTGTTACCATATAAATGGCAGGGAACGGGGCTTGTTGCTCCACAGGGAGAACCGCTAGTGTGAATGAGGGAGCAGACAGCTTGTAGACAGCTCTCCTTCCCTAGGCTCCTCACTGCTTCATGGGCATATGCCAACATCAGCACCAGCTCTCTAGCTTAACTGTCTGATACACAAGATATTCTTCACCTTTTAATGTGCAAGATGGGTCAAAAATCATCCACATTCATTTTCAATAGTATTTGAGCCATAGTTGAGTGTTTCACTGTATCACTGTAATAACTTTAAAGCAAATTTATGTCATTACCCAAGACTTTAAGAAGCAATCAGCTGCTTTTTTATATAAGTCATTACTTTATTTTGGCATGATTCTAAACTGATGTGGCAGTTCTGTCAATAAGGGTCAAAATGCAATACCATGTTTTCAAATGGATGCCAAGTCATTTTCTCAGGCAAGTTTTTATCTTACATTTACTTGGCAGAATATAACAAGTTGCTTCTAAGTGTTTTAGGGACACACTTTCTCTTACTTTACACGAAAAAGCCCCATAGGTCAGTAGCTAAAATACAAGAGATCAACAACCTCCTACCTAGCTGTATCTCCACAGATCGACAGCGAGTTAGCTGTGAAACAATAGGTCAAGCTATCACTGATGACTGTAAACATATAACTATTCTATCATGCAGTGCTGGAATGTAACTAAGTAGATTACTCAAGTACTGTACTTATGTACAATTTTGAGGTACCTGTACTTTACTTGAGTGTTTCTGTTTTCTGCTGCTTCATCCTTAGACTTCACTACATTTCATAGGCAAATATTGTACTTTTTTACTGCACCACATGTATTTGATCACTTTTCAAAATCAAATGAACAAAACAAATACATTATAATCAGGTATTATTGATCCCTGGTGGGAAATTTACCACCTACCCATCAGTGTGTAAAGCATTTCACATTCTAAGTACTGTAGTTAACATTAGCTCCACCTTTACCAGCTGCAACATTCAGAGTACTACTTCCGCCACTGACACTATTACCATGTCTTTCTAACCATAGACAAATTTATGCACATGTATGTGCACGATGTTCTGAGGCAAAAAATACAAAAAAAAAATTCACAAATCTACAGACAAATGAAAGTTTCCTATTAAATTCCACTAACACATCAGTCAGCAGTCCTATGACTCACTGCAGAGTCTGACACTCACAAACACTTGTCACAGATCTTTATACTGTATTTTGATGTACTTGTAATGGCGAAACCGAACTAATGAAAACTGTGGCTCATGCAACTAAAAGGTGTCGTACTTACTCATAATCATGATGTTTGCATTGGAGAGAAGGGTTCCGTGTCTGTTGGATGCCTCACACTGATACACCGCACTGTCAGATGCTTTGGTGTTGTGTAAAGTTATGGTGTCACCTAACACCCTCCTGTTGGTTGCCGGCACATCTGTCGTCACCAGAGACGCATTCAATAAAACAGTTTTAAACATCCATGCTGCACTATTTTAACAAAGATACTGTTGATTGGGCTTTGTTTTTCCACAGCAACTTGAACAATTTGAATTATTTCATAAAGTCCATGTATAGTATTTGCATTTACTGAAAACTGCACTGGATGTACTGTAAATCTAAACATGAACATTTTTGAGTAGTTTAACTTTGCTCACAGTCATAATCACAGTAAAATGAAGGTTTTTCACCATCTTGCTGTAGCTAATACTACATAGAGGATATTTAATAAAACATGACACCAAAAATAAATGTTTTCCTCATAACAGACTCTGGGTGTGAACATAGAGCCTCTCACATTGTTGGCTTTTGATTCTTTAAGAGATGTCTGCTTACAACCCCCATCACCGGTTGTATATTTCCACCGCTGTGACAAGTTTACTGAAAAGTAAGTTGTTTTTTGTCTTATATAAATCAGTTGTATAACTTCCTAGTAAGTCAAGAAAATAGGCACAAATATGATGAAAGTCTAAAAAACATTTCCAATGGTTTCTCAGCGGTACAGTAAAATATATATGATTCACAGTAAAGAAAAAGTCAACTGCAATATTAATGTGTTTTTCAAATGTATTCTCTAGTCTCCTATTGCATGACAAAAACCTTGCACCTTCACAACTTTCATCACAAGTACCTGTTTTGGTCTGTTTCCTTTTTTCCTTTGATACAAAGTTTGTGTCTCAGTGGCTAGAATTCAATTTAAAGAATCCAGAGCTGTTGACAACTCAGGATTATTCTCACAGTATTTCACAGTGGATTCCTCCGACATCCATTTAGCACTTGCAGTTTTACTGACTTCTCAAGCCACCTTTAAACAATCTTTTCCTGTGTCATGTTATGTAATATGTTGTTTTAAGAAACCAAAGCAAAATCAACATTCAGCATTTCTGAGACCTTAAAATTGTTATTTGAGTGTTTCAGAGTAACTAGCAGCTGTAAGGAAATTATAAAATAAATGCTACAGAGAAAAAACTATGCATTCAAATTACAGTTGCTAATCAAAATGCTGGTGATTACAAAGGGGTTATATCTAAATGTATCCTTTTTGGTAAAAAGGTTATGTGTATATGTAATATTCATTCCGTTGCTCTGTATCTTTTCGCCTTGCAGAACACCTTTTGGCATATTTCCACACAGTGCAGGTCAGCAAAGCCACTGGCACAAATAACACTATCAAAGGTAGGCCAGCTAACAAGGAGCTGTGTCTATGTCTTCATAGGCTCCATTCATTTGACAGCATGTGTTCAATTTTGAACATTGCTTTGGATTGGTTCTCTTGTTTGCCTTTGCGTCCCCTCTCATCTGCCAATCAAATCATCGACATTGCTCTAAGCAACCTGGCTTGCGACCTGCTGACAACAGCAGGTGGTCATGCTGTTATACAGGAACACTTTTCAGTGCTGGAAATTCAACCGTATGTTCTGTCTGAAACCGGAAAATGGTTCTGCTTGGTGCTTGTTCAGTAGGCTACATGTTTCAACAGTGACATATTATGTAACTGAAGTTATGTTTAAGAACCTTTAATAAAAGTTAAAGTAATAAGTGACGGTATTAAGTGTCAAGTACTGTTGGGAGGTTTACACTACCTGGTTTAAATGTATTTTAGGACTCTTCAGTTGTAAAACATACTTTAGAAAAGTAATTAAAAGTAATATGTTACATTACTTTGATGAAGTAACTAAAACTACTTACATTACTTATTGCATGTTTAACAGGAAACTAGAAATCCATAACCTATTACATTTCCACACAGTTTGAATAGAAAGGGTTTTAACAGAAAAGTGAGTCCAAAGTGAGGCAGTTTTGAGACTGACCCTGTAGGCGTACACCGTTCACACTCCATGTTATAGTTGGCTGAGGTGTCCCACTGGCGGAGCACTTGATGCGCACGTCTGAGCCGATCATGCTGAGCTGGCTCTCAGGCTCAGACACCCACTCTGGGGGCTCTGGGAACACACAGTCAACATATTATCAAATTGATGAGTGTTAGACACTAAGCATTTACAGACAGAGGACACAGTCAGCAGAACAGTGGTGCAGTGTTATTCAGAGAGTCCTGCTACAATAAAAGTTGTCTCACTGTCTCACCAGAACTGTTGTTTCTCTCATAGACAGTTTTGGAATCATTCTGTTCAGAAGAATGTATTGCACATACACCTCCATACAGACACAGATGACACAGTGCCCAGTATATGATAGAGTACAGCAAAAGACCAGAGAAACAATTTGATGGAGAAACCATTATTATTATTTACAGTTCATCTGCTGAAAAAACAACACCTGCATTACAAGTGCAACTTTATTCAGGAGACATGGATTCCCCCACCAGCTGCATCTGCTTCATGTGTTCTAGGCCTTATTTTTCACCAAAAGATGATTTGTAATAGCTTTGCATCTACAGTGATGCACCTTTCTTTTTATTTACAAGACATCATCTTATAGAGAGTAGCTACTGTACACCCAAAGCAGCTAAGTACATTTACTCAAGTACTGTATCTAATTACAATTTTGAGGTGCTTGCACTTGAGTATTCTAATTTTCTGCCACTTTCTACTTTTACTCCACTACATTGTGAAACGAACTTTTGCTTTAGTAAATTTGTTTGGCATCTATAGTTACTATAAAATAAGAGCTTCTGAACAAATCATATCATGCTTATAAAATACATACCAGTGGTTTCCAATTTGTTGGCTTGGAGCTCTTTTACAAAACTAACTGTCTAGTTGGATTTCAGATGTCTATGAGTTGTTAGCAGTTCCACCAAAAAGCCAGTTCACCTCTAAATGTCTCAGATGTAATATCTGAGGCCTCATGAGGTCAAATTGTCCAATATTTCACAAAAGAGCAAGGATTACAGAAAAGCCCAAAGTATGAACAGAAATCTGTGTCAGAATATCTTCTTTGATGTATCTTGTGACCCTTTGGAGGGGCCCAGTTCTTAGGCTGGGACCCACTGAACTAAAGTACCCAGCAGTATATAATAATAGGGTCACTGAAGCCGATCCCAGCTGACAATGGGTGAGAGGCAGGGTCCACCCTGGACAGGTCGCCAGTCTATCACAGGGCTGACACTTAGAGACAGACAACCACACACACCCACACTCACTCCTACGGGCGATTTAGAGTCGCCAGTCAACCAAAGCTGCATGTCTTTGGACTGTGGAAGGAAGCCAGAGTACTTGGGGAGAAACCCACACAGGCACAGGGAGAACATGCAAACTCTACACAGAAAGGCGTAAACACGCCCACCAAAGCGCTGTTCCTTGGTTTACACTGTGTCACCATTAGATGGTGTTTTGTTCTCAAAGACACACAGTGTGCAACAGCTTCCAAGTCTGGAAAGTGATGGCAGAGTTGTCTATAGTGAATATCAGTGGTGCCTGCAGGATTATATTTCCTATTACGCACAAAAACTGCCTATGGCAACATAAGTCTTGTTTTAATGAGAAACCTTTCTCATTATAACAAGATGCTTTCCTTGTTTTATGAGATACTTTCATGTTAAAACGTGTTTCACGTTATTATGACATACAGTGTTTTCTCATTTTAACAACATACTGTAGGTTATTTTGTCATTAACCATAACCATTTATCATGATTATGTGTTGACTCACAGCACTTGGTTTAGAGTTAGCAAACCTTAAAAGTGGCTTCAAATTAAACATTAGAGCAGAATTTCAAACCCAAACTCAAGCTGCCCACTGTGTTTCCACCACACTCCCTTCTCCACCTTTTTCTGCTGCTGTGTAGGAAAAGGAATCAAGGATTAATGTTATGTTGCCTCAAAATACAATCTAATAACCAGTGCATTCACTACAAAACGTATCAGCATTTTCAGTGTAGTTGCATAGGCTATATAGGAACGTCATTTTTAGAAGAGAGAATGTCTTTTTGGCCAAGACTAGCCCTGAAATGTGGAAAAAGTCAGAGGTTCTATTCGGGAGAGCATAAAAGAGCCTGAGAGTGACTGTCTCTTTTCTATAGCATAGAGCTGACAACCTTGATCTAACAACAAATGTAGACATAATGCAATAACTGCCAGTGGTCCGATGTCTCAAAAGGCGTATAAGGCGTCTGAGCATGTATGTATAATGAAATAGTAGTTATTACTGTGACAGACACAGACACAGATTACTATGTCGGCAGTCACTGCCAACCAAGTGCCTCAGCTTGGTCCAGCAGTCCTTCTACAGTCATTCACCCACAGTTCTGGACATTAACAGAAGAATCAAATTATCAGTCAGCCTCTGCAGTAAACTACAACAAACACTGCTCCACCTAGCAGATACATTAACACTGTTGGTGGCTTGCACACAGTGCATAGGGGTGTTAAAAAGGTGGCACTGTGATCATTGCGTCAATGTGGGGAATATATGGTAAGAGCTGGGGCCGGGCGCGGACCTGTCACAGATCAGGCATGGCTCCACCATGGTCTAGCCAGCGATTTAAGATGGCTGCATATGTATATATAACAATACATCAGTCACAGGGGCAAATTTTACGTAGTATGCATACTTTGATTTTTTTTTTTAAGTACGTTTGTTTATAATACATATGTAATTAAACTTAAGTTTAAGTAAATTTCTAAATATAGAGCTTGAGGTAACATAGGGCTTGTTCTTTTACCTGTACTTTTTTGACCATTTAACTTTGCCTCTTCAAACGATCAGTTAAAGCATAAGTTTGATCAAGCAGTGTATTACTAGAGCTAATAATCACGTTCTAAAATCAGTGAAGAATCAGCCTGTTCTTCAAATTATGACTACTAATCACTTTCAACACTCCCACTGTTTGCTTGTTGCACACTGTTGTTACCTTCAACTGTCACTGTGAAGTAATGGACAGCTTCTCCGAGTGCGTTCTTTGCCTTGCACATGTACTTCCCGCTGTCTTCTTGTTCAACTCTCGGCACAATCAGCAATTTTCCATGATTCTCCAGTTTTGCTTTAACAGGAAGTTCATGACCCATCTTCTCCCAGTCCACTCGTGGCGTTGGACTAACAGAAAGAGGACAGTGTGAAAAAGTCTCTAGATATAGTCTAATCTTGAGTGAGAAGCCAGGACATCATGCCTCCTTAAGAACAAACCATGGCACGAAATTTACGTCACATTGCACAGTAAATCTAACCTGCTTCACATGAAACATAGTTTTGGGTACAAAAGTTCCTAAAATGTATAAGATAACTCAATAAACAGTTAAAAAGATAGCATTACTCACAATCCTTCAGCAATACACTCCAATTTTAAATCCTCTCCTTTGACCAGCTGTGTTTCTGATCTGACACCCTCTGGAGTCAGAAGAGAGGGTCGTCTCTGCAGGATTGCATTAGCTAAGAAAGTATAGCAGAGTATGACATAAATCAGAGGTGTAGTTACCCAGAGGCTAGGCTTATAAATAATATATGTTATACATGAACGTTGAGACACACCTGCTATTTGTTCAAAGCTGTTCAGACATGTACAGGAATGCACAGCACAGGGTGTGTTTTATTCTAAAAACTTCAAACTTACCAGTTTCAGGATTTGTGTCACTTTTTTCTAAAATGGAGTTGGATGAGACAAAAATAAAATGAACATGAGGACAATGTGGATGCATCATGACAAGCATCACCCAGATCAAAATCACAACATAAAACCAAGAAGATGCACATAAACAAGACAGCATGACACCTGGATGCCTTTTGAAGTGTTGCCGTGGATATGGATATCAATGAACATGCTGGAAGTGATCACTGCTCCGAAAACAAATCAAAGTTTGCATCCTGCTGGTTTATGAAGAAAACAGCGCCTGAGTGAAGGCAACGAAACTGAAGTGATACCTACTTGTGTTGACAATGACAGACATGGCGGTCTTCTGAACAATGGTTCGTATCCTTGGGAAGGCGGCGAAGCAGCAGTAGTCTCTCCTGCTGTCCTTCACCACAGCGTGAGAGAAGTAAAGGTCTCCATTCAAGCCCACAGACACCCTCTCATCCTGTTCTATGTGCTGGAGATCTGACAACAAAAAGAGGACTTTACACAAATCTTATCCTGTTACTGTGAAGATCGGACATAAATTACCTCCACTCTTAAACACTTTAACATACAGTGTTTCCCACTGAAGCAGTGGTAGAAATAACTAAGTACATTTGCTCAAGTACTGTCCTTCAGTTCAATTTTGATGTACTTTTCATACACTTCAGATGGAAATATTGTACTTACTGCACAAAAATAATTTGACAACTATATTCATTAATGACTTTTACACAGAAAATTGTTATAGTAAGAACTAAGGTTGTGGAATACACTCCAGTTACAGATGCAGCCACTTAGAATACCAGAGTGTGACTCTGTGAAGTACTGTATTCACACTGCAGGTGTGTTTTTGTTTAGGCCACGGTTTATACAACAGAACTGTCTGACCATAATCCTTATCATACAGGTGCTGCGCCAGATAGATAATTATCACCTGTTACACCGGGTTTCTAGTGAAAAATGGTTAATGGTTGCTTAGGTTACATTAAGACATAATAAATAGTAAAGCATGCTAGAATGAAGACGAGAACTTCTTTGTGACCATTCATTTGAAATCTGAAATATCACACAGCTGCTGTGGACTGTGTAAAACAGTACTGTCAATACAGCTTCATTAAAACACGAGGGGCAGAATGCGGGTTTAACGGACGGATGTCACTGCACTGTCTTAACGTACAGATTACTTTCTTACAGCCTACTTATTAAAACTACTGGGTTTAATTTTTCACATTATTATGACATACTGAATTGTGTCCTTATAATGACATACTGAAGGCTATTTTGTCATTCTAACGACACACTGTATTTTCTTATAGTGAGTGCAGCACGCACATTGTCTTTAAACAGCATCTCAGTAGCTCATTCAGTTCAGACAGCTATCTCTCATCAATACTCTCCCATACCAATGTTAGGTATTTTTAGTCAGATAGGTATTGGTTAGATACTTTATGTATTAGAAATGTTTAGAGTAGACAGGATGTCTGGCTCAGGCTGTTAAGATGCTTAGTCATTCTCATGAGTTTTTACAGGGTGCACATGGTCAAGGATAACTAGATAGAAAAGTTTGACTGTCAGCAGACAGGATGATTATTACTATTATTATTAAGTGTATAACTGTAGCTATTGCCATAATATTTTCTTATGTTTAATGTCTTGACATGTCACTGGAGGTCGTGTGAGAATGTTTTTAGCTACACACTTAATCAACAGACACATACACATTGATTTACTTCATGTTTTGACTACTGCTATGACCAGCTGCAAAGCTGGCAACAGAGACGTCTCGGTTGACGTCCCTGTGTAGTATGGGGCTAGCCCAACCGAAGAGATAAAATGTATAGGCCTGTTTTGGTTCGGGGTCTTTCATCTTCCAGCTGCCTGCGTGCATGTTGGGGGTGCAAGATACCTGAGCGTGCAATGTTAATTTTTACCTGTGTTCATTGAATAAATCAGCACTGTATTGAAGTTACTTGGACTGTCTCGTCTCTCAGAATTAGCGTGGTACAAGAACTGGAAAGACTTCACCAACTTTCCAACAATGACAAACGTCTCTGACCCATTAAACAAAAGGAAACCAAATGAATAAAAGTGGGAGCACAGTTTAGAAAAGGAAAGGCAACTGCCTGTCAGAGGCTGGAGATAAATCATTCGCATTAAAATGAAGTGGTCATGGCATTTCACACCTCTCAGGTATGAAGCCATGCCCATGGTTATCCAACCCGGTCCCCTCTCTCCTGCTTGTACACCTGTCTATAGAGATGTAGAGCTGTTCGTTTGGAGGAATTCACTTTGACAAAAATCATCCACGAGAGTAGCCAAGAGAGGTTGAGATTACAATATAAACTGCACAGAACAGTAGTAAATACAGGAACTAGGATGTCATCTGTCTGATCTAATGGTGCAGTAAAAAAGAATCAACACACCTTTGTTTTAACCTTGTTGTTTTATGTGTTAGAACATTTGTTACTTAAAGCTGTCTAATTCTCTCCACAGCCTCAAAATGTTAATTTGTGTGTTGGATCTTAACCGTATGTTTTACATCATTTAAGTCAGGGGCAGTACCTGCTTTGTGAACTACAAACTGATACATAACCAACTAGTAGTTTAATCTAACATACACACTAAACAACTGTGTGTGTGTGCACATGCTAAAACATCTGCACACACACACACACACACACACACAAACACTAAAAGTGCGCTGTACAGATGTTCTTACACAGATCAGATAAACCTGTGGAGGAACAAGAACAGAGAAACTGAAGGAGTGTGTCCAGAGCTAAAATCTAAACTAATCTACTCTACATTTCTCTCAAACTGCTAGTGACAAAAACTACCACGTTGATGAGAGAGAGAAAAATTTAGACATAATGTGGCACGATGTCTCAAACGGTGTATAAGGCCTGAGCATGTAAGCATAATGAAACAGTAGTCAGCTCGGTCCGGCGGTCCTACTATATTCATCCATCAGCAGTTCTAGACATTAACAGAAGGACAAAATTATCAGTCGGCCTCTGTAGTAAACTACAACAAACACTGCTCCACCTGGCAGATATGTACAACGCTGCGGGTGGCTTGCACACATGGTGCTTAGGGGCGTTAACAAGGCGGCGCTGTGATCACTGAGTCATCACAGGGCAAGGGCCATGTGCGGACCTGTCACAGCTCGGGCAATTTAAGCTGGCTGCATCTGTATAGTTTGAAACGGGGTGTCAATTCTTATGGCTTGTGACTGTTTGTAAAATAGAAGGCCTCCGTTCATACATATTCCTGGACTGTCAGCAGTCACATCAAAGAATGATTTTCCCTCTAAATTTCTTGCATGGTGTTATTTAAAGAACGGAATAAAAAATGATCAACATTTTTCACAAAAATTAGAGAAAAGTTCAAATGAATGTATAAATCTGTGCATCAGAATTTCATATCCACTTAATGTTCCCAAGATTTATCTTGCGGCCTCAAGTCAAATTTAAATTGAAAGTCTGTGACTTTGAAGAATGCTTGTTTGCACTGCAAGAGTTTGTAATAACTCAATAATAAATCAATAAATTTGTCAGTTGAACTAAACTGCACATACAACACTGTTAACTTTTCATAAATAAGATGTATCACTCACTGATAGTCATCCAGTAGATCTGCAGAGGTGGAATTCCTTTAGGTGGATTACATTTCAAAGCAAACGGCTGACCCTCCTCCACCATGACAGGATCAATTGTTTCTTTAGGGAACTTTGGAACATCTGGAAAAAAAAAGAAAATCTACTGTGAGTAAACCAAGTCAACATGAATTATTAAAATAGGCTCTGCAGTTCTCTTCTCTTCCAGACGATGGCAGTAATATCATTCTTGAACTCTGAACCATATGTTTTTTGTGCTCTGTGTCATTCAGTAGATTGAATTTTATGGTCTTCTTTCAGTTTTTGCTTTGCAGAAACAAAACAAACATCACTATGACTTGTGTATGATGTGTCACTACTACTGGGCTGTTGAGGCCCAGCCAAATTTAGTCAAAGTCCCCTACAGAGTGGATTTTCTTTCAGAATGTATGTACTGGGCTTGGGAACAAAATGAAACATGTAGCAAAGGAAATGATGGAGAGGCTAGATCGCATTCGATGCTTTCTCCACTACAGAGCTTTAGATGAGATGCTGGAAGGGGTGGAGCACTCAGGAGCCTCAATGACTTTCTGTCATGTCTGATACAATGAAAAGCTCACAATGGAGGGGTGCAGTCATTACATGGGACTGCTGGCTCTGAATCACTTTGAAAGCACTGTAACAGAGCACCCCACACACACATGTATGTTACTCACGGGGCACAATGAACTCTATCTCCTTCGATATGGCGGTCCCCAGTTTGTTTGAGGCGTAACAGCGATAGGTTCCTTGGTACTCTGTAAGGTTCCCATTATTGGGTATCACAAAGGTCCCAGAATTCTCCTCTTTCATCAGCCGGGGGTCTAGAAAAGGGTCAAATTCCTGGCCATTCTTTGTCCATCTGAATCTACATAAAGAAAGCCAGCAATGAAATGTCAAGTCCTACAGCTGAAAACTGCAACATGTTCATTTTGCAAAGTTGGTGAAAAAAAAAAAAAAAAAAAAAGAGTACAGCATGTCGACAGCCAACTGTTGTTGTTGGAGTTTGTTATTGGTGTCTATTTCATCTTCTCCTCCTCCCATCTGAAGTGATGCAAGGCTTGGTACTCACTCTGGCTCGGGGTTTCCTTTGGCTTCGCACGTCACAGAGAAGCTCTCATCAAAAGGGAAAGCGATGAGAGAGCTGGGTGACTGAGCTGTGATAGTGGGCAGCTGCTCAACTGGACAGCAAACAAGCATGAAAAAGTCAGAGACACAACACAGGGTACAGATCTCCATTCAAAAATACCTCATATTTAACAAGATACTAAGGCAGTGGTTCCCAACTGGGGTGTAAGGTATACCCTGGCAAGGTGTGTGTGTGTGTGTGGGGGGGGGGCATAGGGCAGGCATTTCTACTGGGCATAGAAAATGTAGAGTTTGTCCTCCAAACAGCAATTCAGGGTTGACTTTTGGATACTGTCAACACTGTCTCAGAAAGTCTCTAAAAACAGAATATTGATATTTTGCAGGCAAGCAAATACCAGTGTTTCTAAGAGCCTGGCTTCACACAGAGGAGAGTTTCACAGCCATAAAGAAACTGCCCCAAATTTTGAAACATGCTATATGTGCACCAAGACATCTTGATGAGTTATGTGAGGATGAAAGACTACTGAATATGGAGGTGCACTTTGAATTGTCTATATTTTACATAGCTGGAGACACTGGAATTACACAGTGACATGCAGGTTACAAGCATATATGAGGTGACAAGGAGGTTTGGGTTTTAGCCTGCTTCTGCTTGTGACCCCTCAGTGCAAGTCTAACCATGAGCAGGTTAACTGAAAAATAAATCTTACTTTTTGTCTGGTTGTTTTTAATGAAGACTGAAGTTGTGTCCAATATTTTATAAAAAGCATACATAAAAAATAACTTCTGATAAGAATTTCTTTCATTGTCCTTTAATCATCTTGTGACCACTAAGAGGCATCTTTGGACACTTTGGGGAAGTCTTGATCCCCAGCCTGGGAACCACTGTGGAATGTGTTTACTGTGTAGAGTTCTCTTCCTAAAAATACTTTTCTATAAAATACTGACATTAACGTTACTGAAATGATCTAAAACACATTATTTTGCCTATAGAGCCACTGAATGTTTGTCATTAACAGTGAATGAATCATTTTGTTAGTCATATTTTGACATAAAACTTTTCATTTGGCCTAATATAATGACAGAGTTGTGACACGTGCTGAGGATGAAATTGCACAACCAAGTATTAATGGTGTGATTACATGAAAATGAAAAGCAATTGCCTAGGAGCTACAGTAAAACGCCAGGATTATAGAATGATGACTGATGAAACATGAAACTCAGATCTAACACACATATGGCAGTAAGTAAAGCTGCTGCTGTGCCCAACAGTGAGCCAGGAGATTAACAAACAGAGAGCTGGAGACACTAATACCAGATACAGTATGGTGGAGTCAACTTACTGTTTACATGACCTAAAACTACACAGTCCATGGCAGCAGGGAGAAAACAAACAGAACAAAACAGCCAGTTTAAACCTCTCTTCACACATTGGTAATGCAAAACAGAAGACCCAGTAAAAAGATATTCTGACACCACTGAGTCCAAAAATGTTTTTTTTCCCTCCAGACAACCTCTTTGAAATGTTCTTTATCAAGCTCTTAAGAGATATTTCTGAATAATGTAGAGGGAGAGGTTTAATGCCAGTTCCCAGGAAAATTGGGATACATGTGGATCCAGCACAAAAGAAATCAGAAGCCTGATTCAGACAAGATAATATCTGCAAATATATTCCATTCACAAAATGCCTGATGATCGTAACACTTCAGTGTGGTGTGATTTATTTGCTTCTAAATTATTCAACACATTTTTTTACATAAAACACATCAAGTTAAACCAAGGGCAAGTAGATGAGATATTTAGCTGATTCACTCTGACTTGTTACACTGTAAAACACCACACAACATTTTAGTGGAATCAACTACTACTTATTATTTTCCGAGCGTTTCAGAACAAGAACTCTTGAATGAATGAAGTGTTTTCTAAACTCATCAAGTTAAGCTTCTAAAGACACATGATAAGCATATTAGCTTACTTTACTTCTCTAATGGTTTGAATGAAACTAATAAAGTATGACGGGACCTTGTGCATGCACAAGTACATGCATGAAAACCTGCACACTTGGGGACTGTCCGGTCCACTCAGTACGTTGTATACTCGTGTTTCACTATACAAACTTGAAAAATTGGCAGTGTATCAAATACTTATTTGCCCCACTGTATGCTACTCTGCTTCCCTGATGGCATAGCTTATCCACCTGGTTACTGTCTTTTCACCTGTCCGTTCCGATCCTCTGACTCTCCCGGTTCCTACCATTATTTAGTCTACTCACCTGTTCGTCCTGTTCTTCTCAGCCTTCATTGCCCTACCCTGTTTTTGTACCATAAATTGACTCAGTTACTTTGTGTTCTCCAGTAAACCTCCTTTTTTCCACTAGCACCTGGGTCAGCATCTTGAGTCCTACCTCAGTTCTCCCTGACCCCTGGTGAGGGGGTCGTAACCATAACAGGGACAGCTGAACCAAGCTGTGACCACAACATGTGGTGAAGTTGCTTACTTAAATGCCTAGCAGTTCTGCAGCAACACTAGCATTCGTTTGGAGTTGTGTTTCTGGACACATGGCAACTTAAGTTCAATATTCGCTTTCTTTGAGCTCTGAACTTGGCCTCTATCAACTCCTGAGTGAAGTATCTGGCTCTGTATTTGCTAAATGCCCCACTTTGTGTGACTGTATGCTTGGAGAGACACTAAAGTTGTGATCCAGACAATTAAACAATGAGGTGAAAAGCTCCACAGAGTCAGATTCAGGTCATAATTCTCTGTAGGTTCATCACCACAAGCACAACCTGTTCACATTGATTTCACAATGTCATTTAATACACTGTCATAAAAATGCAGTTTAAAGCTGCTCTAAGTTTAATGAATTTGTTTTCTGAAACTGAATGATGTTGGCTTTATTTTTTTAATACTCACCGGCTGACTGCTCAGCGAACTCACATTTTTAAGGCAATGGGCAAGGTGAAATTAACCAAAGATTTAAAGCAATAGTTTGCCCAAATAAAAAAGTGTTCTCATAAAGCACCTCTACCATGATAGTTTTGGTTTTATTCACCCAATTTTTGAGACCCAAGCCTCCACTGTAACATAATAAAAGCGAACAGACTTTTGTTTGTGTTGGTCAAAGTATAGTTATATGTTGAGCAACAATGTTAGCTTTTCACTCCATATTTATGTGGATGTAAAAAACAAAATAATGCCATACTTTTTATGATAGAAAGTTTTCCTTTTGAAAACTGTTAATGTGTTTCACCGATCTGTCCATTAACTACTGAAACAAACATGTATCCTTCTGCATCTTTGTGAACATGTGTGAATAAGTGATGTGCTATTGTACAAGTCCGTACTTACCCTCTAGTGGGATGTCAAGGGCAGTAGTCATATAAAAGGCACAAATGCAGGTGATCAGGCCCAGCACCGCAACCAGTCCTGAGCTCCTCTGCAACCTCATTGTTAGACTGTAAATCTCAGACGTCCTCAAATGAGTGGCCTCCTCTTTGTCCTCAGTTCATTTCTGTGACATGCTCAAGATGCTGTACCTGTGAGAGCAGCACAGACGGAGAAGGCTACATGAATCCACCCACGTGCTGGCAGAGGGAAAGGCAAACCCCATACACAACAAATCCCCTGTGACTGGGAGCCCAACTGCTCTCTGCTCAGTCAGGCATAATACATATTTTCATTTGCATCAACACGGACTATTTTCTGAGCTAGTTCAAATTTTGCTGTGAAACAGACAAACAAATAAAAACATTAACATGAAAGCCTCCAATCACCCGCTTCCCCAGGGACTTAAATTGTTTTGTTGTTTGATGTCTATGGAAGTGAGTAGCAAACAAAGGAGCCTGCAGATTTGTTAATACAAGGCAGATGTTCAACATCACTATTACTAAAGGAAAAAGAGGCATTTACTCCAAGACACTGCAATAAATTTAAGTGAAATCAAAATTGCCATCAAAGTTAAGATTCAGCTGATTTAATCACACTGCTGTTTTGATCGGTGCCTGCATGAGTCTAATAAAGAGATTAACATTACAGCAACACATGTATCTATTATTGCAGCAAATATTGCTTCCTGAGGGCAGTAAGGCATAAACAGAATCATCTAGATAGTTAACAGTCAGAGAGAGTAAGCTGTCTGCACACACACACACAGGCTGCAGAGGACAGGTCACTGGATCATTTTCCTGCTAGCAGACCTGAGTCTGGAGCATAACTATGGAGAATGGAGATAAAATCCTATCAAAAATGTTACAAATGCGTGTTTAACGTTTTGTCCGTAACAAGCGATTTGTGTGTGTGTGTCATGAGGTTCACAAATGCGTGCTGCGCAATCTGCACGTATAAAGCGATTTGTGTGTGTGTGTCATGCTGTTCACAAATGCGTGCTGTACAAACTGCACGTAAAACACATTTTACAAATGCTTAAAATCAATTTTTCGTGTGCAATTCTTTAGAAAGTACGTACACATTGTTACCTACGCATGCGTGGATCGTCTAACACACACGAATCACCTTCCGCGCACACACGGATTTTTGACAGTGGTTTTCCGCACTCTCAAAAGTCCACGATCCACGAATGCACGGTGCGTTTAAGGACACGTGGAAAACTCGGACATCTGATTTTCCCAAACAAAAGTATTTACACAACGCTATTCCAAATGGACATTACATAAAATAAACAAAAATATCTAATACATAACACGTTTTAACAGAGAACATCCCAGCTGCCTGCAGTTTGTGGTGTAATTTTTATATATTTAGAATTTAGAAGTTATGAAGCTAGAGTTAATGTTCCGCCCTGCGGAGTTTATAGTTTTTCAGTAGGGCATATTTTAGTGATGCACATATTCCTCCCGACGGAGGCTGCGTCCGAAACCGCCTACTACATACTGTATAGTAGGCGAAAAGCAGTAGGCGAGGCGAGTAGTATGTCCGGATTCGTAGTATTCCAAAAACAGTAGGCGAAAAGTACCCGGATGACCTACTGCTTCCGGTTGGATTTTGCAGTGTGCATACGATGGACACTTCACTATCCCATGATGCCCCGGGAGAGGAGTTATCCAACGAAGA